TGTGTGTGTGTGTGTGTGTGTGTGTGTGTGTGTGTGTGTGTGTGTGTTCCCTACTAAAGGTATGCAGTTTGCTTCAGGGAAACATCAAGATATTTTATAAAGAAGATTCTGTAACATTTCCTTTTTCTTTAAGGAATCCTATACACCTGGCTATCACATAGATCTCCTAAATTCTTCTGAATGTGTCCAAATACATTTTCAGTGGTAAAATAGGAGAATTCGGTATAGTTCATGCACATATGCTCTGATACAGCTTTACTAAATGTTCCCTCATATTCTGAATATTCTGTAATCAAATATCTTTTCCCAAATTGAAATAGGTCATTTGATCTTGGAACGTTGACCAGTGTTTGTTTGAGGAGAAAAATGTTGCTAGTCCATGACTGCTATCAGGCCTTATAATCAAAGAGTTAAAAATCAGAATGTTTGACACGCCACACTGTGAAATTCTGAATATGGATTGCTGGAAAGTAACTTGACAGTAGAAGGGTTATTTGCATGAGGGAAGGAAAAGACATTTTTTTAGAACAGGGGTTACTGAAACATGGAAAAAATAATAAATGGATGGCCCAGAGTATCCAACATTCCCAAGGTAAATAATGAAAGGTAGAAAAACATCAACAACTATCCTTTATCCTTTTGGGATAATCTTCGAGATGCTTAGATAGGTAGAAGAGTAAGGTGAGTGGTTGTGAATACAGTGCAGTGTTCTAAGGCAATGTAATTTTTAAATAATGTGTTCAATTGTTGATTTGGTCTTCAGGTTGCTAGTTTCAATAAGGATATTGAAGATAATGATATCATTAAATATCACACACAAAACATGTGGGTGACTGAGGAGTCAGACTCTTCTAGGAAACCATTTCTATATTTCTCATAAAATATATTAGCACAGAGTCAAATCTTATAAAAACATCTCCTTCCAAACTATATGCATATCATTATATTTGATTAGAATGTGATTTCTGTACAAAAGCAACTTTATTTATTTTTTTAAAGATTTTATTTTTAAGTAATCCCTACACCTAATGTGGAGCTCAAACTCGCAAACCCTGAGATCAAGAGTCACATGCTCTTCTGACTGAGCCAGCCAGGCACCCCTGTACAAAAGCAACTTAAGGTAAAAATGAGTTTCAAAAGTTGCCTTAAAAAATGAATACCTTCTATTCTTTTTCTTCTGCTATAAGGAGAAATATGAATTCCTAAAGACTCTGTATTAGATAGAAACCGGCTGTGACACCGTTGTCTTTCCATGCTCCAGCAAGATACAAAATAAGATACGTCTGGCTCCATGAGAGGAAAAAAGAAATGTTGAATAAATGCACTATCAATTAAGATCCAAATTTAGATGCTGAGTGAAGCATTCTTACAGCACAAATCAGTTCGTGTCCTTTTGTTTTTTTCAAGTACTGCCAACAAAACTCCTGAGGCTTCACCCTTTCTTAGCGTTAAGAAATATATACACATTACATATAAAATTATATAATTAAATTGGATAACACGTGTTTGGCAGCAGTAAGTGAAACTGCCATTCATTTTGCTTTTGTCCAAGATAAATAAGAAAAAAAGGGGGGGGTTGCAGTGAGACACTCAATTAAGCCGTTTTCATGAAAGCACATGATACTGGAAGATCCTTCTGTTTTGTAAATTTTGTCCTGCTCAGGAAACAAGGATTCTCATATATCCACTGCACAAAATATGGAAAGTAAGGACCTCTGAAACTCCAGACCATAAAGCCTTATCTTTCAATATTTGTTCCAGTAATTTAATTTCACTTTCCAGATTATTAAGACTACACTTTATTATCCATTTGATGCTGAATTGCTGAGTTTGACTTTGTCCCAATGGCATCAATCCTGTCTTTATCGGGTTGGCAGAAGTAGTGGCTATATGGCTTTTAACCCTGATGAAAGGAAAGCTTCAGTGTGGTGTGAAGGAGACGGACTGGTCTCTGTGATGGCAGGGGAATCTCTTCTGATTTATGTCCCATAATCCTGAGAACT